TATCAATACATACAATTTAATCAACTAGATTGGAAACAAACAAGATTTACTACAAATGTTCATATGCACTTTATTTTATTGATCAACTGTTACAATAAATAATAAATATCGTCTCTTGTATATAGTTTTCAATTTCAATTTTTTTACCTATTTCTGATCTATCGACTACTTTTTCTCAAAAATGGCGCACATTTTCTTAAGAAATTTAAAAGATTAGTTTCGCGCAACGATCCGCCAAGCTGTGTTTTATTCCTATCAAAAAAGTGAGAAGTAAACCAATTTTGAGAATTTAAAAAAATTAGATATAAATTTAAAAAGATATCATTTGGTAATTGCGCTGATTACTATTAATTTTTTGTGAGTTTTCAATGAAAATTCTTCGCGATAGTGTTCATGACTTAAATTGAACGAACATCGTAAAATAGTAGAAGCCTACAAAAAGTAGTTTTTATATTAATTGTTTAAATTATAAATGTTAATTAAAATTTAATTCGTGTTCATGCACAATAATTAATACAATTAGAGATATTATGAGTCTGTTTGAAAAGAATGGATTGGAAATCGCATATATTAATTTTTAGCATAAGAGAAAACTTGAAACAGTTAAAAATTTTATCTGAATAGCTAAATCTTATTGATTATATCCATTATTTACACGTGTCGGGTTGATTTTATTTTTTTTATTTGTTTTTTATTATCTATCAGAACTTTAGTTATATTCTATAAACTATTTGGTTGACATTAATAAAATATAATTATATATAATAGTAGTTACCCCAGTGGGTATGACTATTTTATGAAGTTCTACTATATTAGTTATCTGATCATAATTTTTTCAGTCTTCTTGATAATTAGGGTGATTTTCTAATTTTTGATAATGATTAGTCGCTCTTGTTTTTATGAAATCCTTAATGTATAGCACCTTCGATTATCATGTAGAGATTTACTACTCACAATCCAGGGTTTAGGCAACTAGCATTCTCACCATAATTACAATCTATTGTTTTAGTTGACATTCAAGTAAATTAGTCTTCTTTGGTCTGAAGAATTTTGCTCTCACAAACAAATAAGGTACTCTTTGAATTCACTTCAATATTGAAATAGCCTTCAAGTGGACATGTGATCACAAAAAGTTTATTTATGAAATTAATAATTGATAGTACAATTTTGTGATATCTATAATAACGCATTTTTTGATAAAATGTCGCAATTTGGAATTTAACAAATTGTATTAAAAACGTTTTTGATATATTAATTTCGTGCTTCGCGAATCGCATGCCATTACCACATTTGTTATCCAATTCAATTTAATTTTATTATTAACTTCCCGTAGGGTAAGTTATTGTAATGGGCCGAAAATCGAAATTGAAAATTTTTACTTTTCTCAACGTTTTGGCATACTTTAGAAAAAATGGGTGTGTGTGTGTATGTGTGTGTGTATGTATGTATGGATACAAATTTCCAGTCACGTTTTCGGGCGCACGGATCAACCGATTTGAATGGTTCAAAAAACATTCGATTCCTATTGATAGGGAAAAGAACTGATTAGTTTTTGGCGATGGCAGGTCCAGCCGTTTCGGAGATACGGAGCAAAGAGTGCAGAAAATAGAAATCGACTTTTTGAGAGAACGGAGTATCCGTATAGTGAATGATCTAAAAAAACATTCAATTAGTAATGATTGGGAGAAGTGTTTATTAGTTTTTGGAAAAGGCAGGCACAGCCATTTCGAAGATACGGAGCTAAATATGTAAAAAATGGCAGTTTTTGAGAAATAATTCAAAGAACTTTCTGCTTGTCTTAAAATTAATTGACTTTGGAAAAAAATTGTATATATATTTTTTTTTTTTTAGTTTTTTTTTTTGTATATCGAAAATAATTCAGATTTTATTTTTAATTCTGACTAAAGTTCTAATATGCTTTAAACAAATAATTTTAACTTTGCACTTCAGTTTATATAATTCTTATAAATATTAGACAATGTTACAATATTTATAATGATCTATTTGAAAACATTCAGTATTCCTCGAACATTTCGTTACGGTACGGGAAGTTCCAGCAATTTGCCCTAAGGCACGATATACCCCACTAAATAATATTCTTATTCTGACATTAACAATATCAGTTGTATTTTCATGAAGTGCAAAACCTCAGTTATATCATAATATTGCAAGATTTTGAAATAAAACTCAATTATATGTGGGTAATAATTAACTGTAGCTGCAATAGAATAATATTATCGCAAGTTGTTACTCAATTATAATAATAAATCAATTTAATTCCAAGGTAATGTTCTATATGCATTTGATTGAAATGCAATGCTGGTGTCTCTTGGGGCTTGTATTATAGTGTAAATAAGTTTTTTGTTTGGTTTTCTAATTGGGCAATCTAAAAATTATAGATAAAGGCAATGCTCTACATTATCATGAAGGTGCGGCTGGCATAACTATGTAAATATTAGCTGCCAAGAACTATTTGAAATCAACTTATTAATTATTTGATTGATACTTAAAACATGATAATATTGTTTCTCTTTTAACTGTTAGGATTTTTATCTGCCAACTATTTATGAAAAATATCATTTATGTACATGTGACTTGGCCTAATTTGTGGTGCGAATAAAATTTTCCGGCCAAAGCTTTTATTTAGCCAAAGTGTAACGCGTGAATTACGAGATAAGTGATTTTATTGTCACTCGTAAAATTGTGTTAAAAGTCAATGTCGAAAGCGCATCTGACTGAATCATAATATATAATTTATTCCATAAATTGCAACAGTCCGTTATAGAACGTTTCGAACGGTCCTTTTGCCTTCTTACAACACTGATCAGAAAAATAATTTCACACGTTTGAATAACATAGTAATAAAATTTTTGTCTTATTCGTTCTCACATTTTCCAAAGAATAATTCAAACGAACAATGCCCGAATGCGTACAAACCGAGGACGCCAGTTTTAAAATTGCTTAATTTTTTAAATTAATTATGTATAATTCTAATTCCATTAATTACTCTTTTCAAGGTAACGACTTCTTAAATTAATTATTTTATTAATTTTGTTATGAAATAAATAGACCTATTAAAACATTCCTGTAATGAGATAATTATTTAAAGAATATTTTCATTAGGTATAAAATAACGAATAGCAAATGTATTATTTTTATTATGACCAAAGGAAAGTCCGTTTTCCTTTCATAATCATATACAGTAGAGATATTTTCTTTCTTACTCTTTTCAATACTTTTTGATTTATACCTTGACTGAAGGATATACACAAATAAAGTATTTTGCAGGTAATATAATAAATTAAACTAGTTGTGTATGACATCGTGCCTCAAGGCAAATTGCTGGAACTTCCCGAACCTTAATAAAATTTTTGAGAAATAATAAATGTTTTCAAATGGATTGTTTTATATAATGTAACTTTCATTATTCTTAATTCATGAAAACTAAATAAAAAACACTTAAGCAATCGGTTTTAAAATAAAGAATATTGTCCAAATATTTCTAACAATATGTATCATATAAACTGAAATGCATAGTTAAAATTATTTATTTGAAGTATATTAGTAATGTTTAGAACTTAGTAAGAATTATAATAATATACATTTTTTTGAAATTAAAGAAAAAACCTCAAAAGCAATTCGTGAACACAAGCAGTTTTTTCAAGCAGAGTTTTTCAAGTCATTTAAATCGGATGCTTAGTTCTTTCTAAAACTGACATTTTTAACACTTTTTGCTCCATATCTCTGATGCCGCTAGACCTGTCTTCGTCAAAAACATACCTGCACGGCATCTCATCAATAGGAATCGATTGTTTTTTGTACCATTCAAATCGGATAATCCGTACGCCCGAAATCGTCGACAAAAAATTGTCTCCACACATACTCACATACATCCACTTTTTTCCGAGATATGCTAAAATGTTCAGAAACTTCTGAAATGTAAAGATATGCAAAAATTTTAATTTTAGATTTTTGGTCCATTACTATAACTTACCCTACGGGAAGTTAAAAAATGATTTAAAATTTACTTATAAAATACTTGTATAGGTTAGAGCGGGGCTTCACGGTAAAATGATCCACCGCCAATATCTCAATTACAAGTAAATTTTCGTTTTTTTTAATAACAATAATTGAAAAGGCAAAAGATGTATAACAATCTATCACCTTGATTTTTACAACGTCATATGAAAAGATAAAAGGCAATGTATGAAAATCCGTAAAGTTTTTTCTATCGTTATTAGTTTTTTTATTGTGAGCACTGTTGTTTAGTTAACAAGACCTCAATATAATTTTTGAGTGTATGTTATTTATAAGATTTATTGTTATTTGTAAAATAGATTTAGATTCTATAGTTTTTCATATATATAACCTCTATAAAAGCTTACGTGTAGGTAGAGTGAAAACAACCAACCAGACGTTTATCCTGTCAAAGAATTAACGAAATTCCCGATCAAAATTATTTTCATAATGCAATTTTTGTAAAAATTTGCTCATACATATTTTATATCGCATTGGGTGAATGACGTAGCTATTATTTCGTAAAATTCCTTTGAAATTAAAAATAACCCATTGGAACAGTTTGCCCTTCGGCTGTAAGAAGAAATAGGTGACTAATTTGAGAAAAATAGTAAAAAACATATTTCTATAATTAGGAATTAACTATGAGTTTTACTGAGCATAGTTTTGTACAAGTATCATAAGAAATTTGAACGTGTGATATAGTTCATTTGGTTTAGACAATATAATTACTGAAAGTCAAGACAGTAGTCCTTTGTCTACCCTATATTAAAGTATTGTGCATGATTGACGTTAATTAAAATTATATATTTATAAATATTTTATGAATTATGCAGGTTTATAACATTTTTCTGTTTTTTCCATTACAGGTCCGCCAGTAATGCTCATGCCCGACATTGTCCAATCAACCTGTGCTCTATGACCGGAACTTCATTTCGGGATTTTACCCGAAATTTTCGATTTTTCCGGAAATGTTTCAAACAATGATACCCGCGGTCGTGACTACCGGCATAGATCGGACACATCGTTCCATCGAGCATAATGCGGGTTCTAATATTTTCGATGCCGCTCGATTTTCGGGTTCCCAACAACCAGTTTCCTTGGGAGAACGTGGAACCAAGGCGCCGAGAGAATTGCAACGACTCAATCTAGAATATGATAGACATAGGCATTTGTATAGCTGGATCGAAGATTCATCGGCGATTGGTTTCAACAGGCAAAGAGATCAGATGCAACAAAATCAAGTTTTACAGCAAAAACAACATTCAAAACATCAGCAACTCAAAAGACATTTGTCCCATGATGTGGTATCGAGTGTGGAGCAACTTCATACGACTCAAGGTACGTAGTAATTGTGATATAAAACATTATATACATAATATATATATATATATATATATATATATATATCAATGTTAAATTATTAATTTTAACTAATAGATTTCATTCAATTGTCAAAGCTTCCTTATTTGTTTAATAATTTTATTTGAGTAAGAAATATAAATACGATTTGACAGAATAAAAATAATATTTAAATAATTTACGTAGATGAAAAGTGCATATGATTTTTTTTTAAATTTATTTTGCAATACTATACATTAAGGACAATTTAATATGACGGCGTGTGAAGCAATGACTGTCTGTATAGTCTAACATTAATTATTTATTAAATATTGGAGAAGTTGAATTCCATTTCAATATAAAACTTTTATTTTAAGTTTCCAATATAAATATGTAAAATAATTGCTCACATTTCTTTATTGCCCATCAATTCGAAATTAACATCATTTTTTAAATGATTCATTATTAACATAATTACAAAAGTTTGTAAGTAGGTGTAATATTTCAAAATTCAAATTGGATTCGAATGGAATAATTATTTTCCATACACACATACTACATACACACACACATCCATTTTTTCTGAGGTATCCCAAAACGTTTGAAACGTAAAGATATGCAAAAATTTTCATTTTCGATTTTTTGCGATTACTATAACTTACCCTACGGGAAGATAAAAGTATTTTGTATATTTGCATACATGTATTTACATATACGTTTCGAATTTGTATTGCCAATCCAAACCGCAGAATTGGTGTTAGAAGCATCCAAAATATTGAATTGAATCAAAATTTAAATTGGATTCGAATAGGATAATTATTTTTCATTTTTTAACAGGAATACCATTTCAATTATTTAAAAATTGTTTTTGTTTTCAAAGCTGTTAATTAGATAGAGTCGAACCACTTCCATATAATTAGGAATTAGGTGAAAAACAAAATACTTTCACAAAAACTTCTTGAAATGATTGTGAACAATAATCGTTTGAATACCATTAGAGAAATGTTTCCATTAGTTAACTTTCCGTGAGGCAGGTTATAGTAATCATAAAAAATCGAAATTATTGAAAATTTGTATATAACGTTTCCCTAAAGGCGTTTATAACTAGTCCTGGCATATCTAGATCGCGTAGTTTCTTCTCAATAATGCCCTGTTCTCGGACTACTACTTTAATTTTTTAGTTTTCAATTTTTGTTGACCAATCGACGGTTCTCTGGTTCTCAAAATTAAATGTAACCTTTCAAAGGCAAAATAAAACTCGTAATTATATATTTTTATACTCTATTTGGAATAATACTAAAATAATATACTTGAAATGCAATTCGTAACAAAATATAGTATCAAAGTCTGAAATTTGACTATAAGATTTTTCAATACTCAAATTTTTACCTTTAGAAATTGTGCAAGAAATAACTACTAAAATAATATACTTGAAATACAATGTCGTAACACAATATAATATCAAATCTGAAATTTGATCATAAGATTTTTCAATAGGGTAGGGCGGGGCTAGTTGAGCATAGGGGCAAGTTGAGCAATCGAAATATCTCGAAAACTATTCACCGTCCGTTTGGGCATTATATGGCGAAAAGATAGAGGTTTAGGAGAAATAAACATCCCGCAATCGCTAGTGGCCGCTGGACAGATGAGTGAGGCTCACGGGCGTTTTGCTTATTTTGAGACCAAAAAGTAAAAAATAATTCATCACGAGTTTTTGTCTGGTTTAGTCAAATGTTATTTATTTTTAATCAGATAAATGTTATTCTTCCATATAATTATAGTACTATTGATATGCACAGAGATTCTGGGTATAATTCTCACGGTTTTTTTATAAACTCACTTTTATTTTAAAATTCCGAGGTGGGGTTAGTTGAGCATAGTTGCTAAACTTGTTCTGTCACTAAGACAATTACCATTAACTTCCAGAAATTAATTATTATTTTTAAGATTTAAGCTAAGTCAATGAGTAATAATATAAATAAATAATGATTTTAAACAAAAATACTGAATATAATAATAATGGTAAAATAACTCCTAAGATACGATATTGTTGATTCTACTTTTGGTTAATTATTCAAAGAAAATTACTATAAGTTTTGTTTTCTCTGTCAATAAAGACTATAAATATAGAACTGGTTATTAAAAACTAATTTTATTTCATCACTAATCGACATTGAACCTATGATTTCATTATAATTTCTTAGTGCTCAACTTGCCCCACCTATGGGGTACATTGAGCATACTTGACTTTTTGCATTTAAACAGCTGTAGCTTTTAAATTTCACTTATTGCCAAAAAATAGTATTAACACTTTTGTTAAGCGATAAACAACAAATCCATTAAGCCGTATAGCAATTTATTAAGACTTTTCATTGAGGAGCTACATCCGTTTAAGTAAAAAGTTGCTCAACTAGCCCCGCCCTACCCTACTCAAATTTTTACATATATAAATTGTGCAAGAAATAACTACTAAAATAATATAGTTGAAATGCAATGCCTGTTACGACATTAGATTTTTCAATACTCAAATTTTTACTTCTAGAAATTGTGCAATTGGACACGCTCACATATTTTAATAAAAAATATTTACCCCAAGACTGCAATATATTCAAGATACTAAGTGGATTCAATGTTGCATAAAATACAGTACAACAGCTTTCATTCTAAATAAATATACAAATTCATATAGATGGTAATGATTTGAAATAATCAATGTTAAAATTCAAAATTCATGAAAAATAATATGAATTGAAATGGTATATTTAAATTTATCAGAGTTCTAAATCAAATTTCTTCATTTGAGCCAATACTAAAAAATAATCAGCAAGCTCGTTAAATAACATAAAAAAGTTTTTTTCTAATTTTTGTTGAATAACACCCGATTCTGCAAAAATGTTTACCATAGAAAAACAAGCGACTGATTCTCTATTTCTCAGTTCACTCCTCTACATATATCTCTTCTACCAATTACGGTTTTTCACTACAGTCTGATTTAGGGCGCACATTTCTTGAATTCCACAAGTTTTTGTTAGAAGTAATTATTTTCTAATACCTAGTTGGCGTTTCCATTATTATCTTATTGTTCTTGCTTATAAAGTTTTAGTTTCGACCGGTGTTAAAGAAACCGTTTAATGAATTATTTTTTTGCTGTTATATACAGTACGAACTTCTTTCTGACACAAACATTTTCGGGAACTATTCAATTAATCGAACTATTCAAATCAAATCTTATTTTTAAATTTTTTGCAAAAATATTGAGAAGAAAACGGAAAAAGTACAATCTTACAATTAGTTGAAAAAATTAATTTATACCCGCATGAAAAAAATTATTATCTACTGAAAATTATAATTATTCACAAAAAAAGTATTGGAAATATACTTTATATTTGTATACATGTATGTATATATGCTGTGTATATGTATATATGTATAAAAAAAGTTGTATTTTTAAATTATTTATAGCTGCAATACCCAAAGCTGGTGTTAATAGTTAACTGAACATCCTTGAAAGTCCTTCAAAGTATAAATACTTTAGTGAGTAAAATGCATATTGTAACCCTTGATGGTACATAATTTTTTAAAATGTCGAATAAAATGCTATCAATAATTTTGATTGTAGGAGATTGCGCATGGCATCGTGCCTTAAGGCTGGAACCTCCCGTACCAAAAATTATTATTTTCTTAAAAACGATTAACATTTTTGAAAAAATTTAACTTCGAAAAAATTAGATTTTTCAAAAACTACAAATTTGACAATAATTTTTTTTTTTTTTGAAGAAAAAATATTGAAAAAAAATGTTTTTTTTATTTTGACATATTTTGGATATTCTGAACTTTTTTTCAAAGCAATCGTACTGCATAGAGACGAAAAGTCAAAGCGCGTAAGCGCCGCGTCGCCGTCTAACGGATAAATATTGGTACGGAATCTATAAGAATGTAAATAAAATTTATACTTATTGTTAAAATCTTTATAAAATATCTGATAATTTGATGTGCATATGTCTAATGATCATTTTTGACCGCCAAATGGCATTTTTTAACTTCCCGTAGGGCAAGTTATAGTAATCGCAAAAAAATCGAAAATGAAAATTTTTATATATCTTTACGTTTCAGAGGTTTCTGAACATTTTGGCATACCTTAGAAAAAATGGATGTATGTGTGTGTGTGTGTGTGTGTGTGTGTGTGTGTGTATGTATGTATGTATGTGTGTGTATGTATGTGCGGATACAAATTTTCGTCGACGATTTCGGGAACACGGATCAACCGATTTGAATAATTCAAAAAAACATTCGATCCGTATTGATAAGGAGACGTGCTGATTAGTTTTTGGCAAAGGCAGGTCAAGCCGTTCCGAAGATACGGGGCAAAAAGTTCCGAAAACGGTAACTCAGTTTTTAAGAACGGAGCGTCCGATTTTAATAATTCAAAAAACATTTTATTTGTATTGACAAGATGAAGAATCGATACAACTTTCATGAAGGTAGGTCCAGCGGTTTCGGAGATATAGAGGAAAAAGTAAAAAAATAAGCCATTTGGCGGTCAAAAATGATCATTAGACATATGCACATCAAATTATCAGACATTTTATAGAGATTTTAACAATAAGTATACATTTTGTTAACATTCCTATCGGTTCCGTACCAATGCTTATGCGTTAGACAGCGACGCGGCGCTTACGCGCTTTATATTTTGTCCCTATGTAGTTAAAGCAGTACGATTGCTTTGAAAAAAAAGTTCAGATCTTCCACAATATGTCAAAATAAAGAAAAAAAAAATTTTTTTCAAAAAAAACAAATTTTTTTTAAAAAAAATTTTTTTTAAAAAAATTTTTTTTTTTTCAAAAAAAACTAATTTTTTGTTCAATTTATAGTTTCTCAAAAATCTTATTTTTTCAAAGTAATTTTTTTCAAAAATGTTAATCGTTTTAAAAAAAATAATAATTTTTGGTACGGGAAGTTCCAGCAATTGCCTTAAGGCACGATGCCCTAATTGCCTTAAGACAGAATTCCACTTACAGCTAGTTTTACTTTTTTCATTAGATCTCCGAAACCGCTATACCTGCCTTCATGAAAATTTGATCAATTCTTCATCTTGTCAATACAAGTTAAATTTTTATTGAATTATTAAAATCGGACGCTCCGTTCTCTTAAAAACTGAGTTATCATTTTTGGCACTTTTTGCCCCGTATCTTCGGAACGGCTAGGCCTACCTTCTTCAAAAACTAATCAGCAGGTCTCCTTATCAATACAAATCGAATGTTTTTTGAATTATTCAAATCGGTTAATCAGTGTTCCCGAAATCGTCAACAAAAATTTGTATCCGCACACACACACATACACACACGCACATACATCCATTTTTTCTAAGGTATGCCAAAATACTCAGAAATCTTTGAAACGTAAATTTATATAAAAATTTTCATTTTAGATTTTTGCGATTACTATAACTTGCCCACGGAAGTTAATAAGTCCTTCTAAAGATTTAAATTATAATATTATAACTAAAGAAATAAATCTTATTCCAATATATTTCTGAGTTAAAGTCAGAACCATCAACCATAATTTTTTAATTTATAACCGAACAACTCACAACCTTAAAATTGGGTACAATAAATTGTCTATTTTGAATATTTTTATCTTATTCAAACTGCGCGTTTTAATTTTTTTAGTGGAATATATACTAGATGTATAGCATCGTATTCATATGTTTTATTTTGTTTCCAGTTATCGTAGATGTGGAAAATGCGCCTGCAAAAGACGATTCTTCGAAACGGGCATCAGCATTATCGATAATTAAGAAACTGTCTCCATTTGATGGTGGATCAAGGAGCGATCATTCAAATTCCTTGGAATCTAATCCCGATCAGAAAAAATCTATGACCGCTTCAAGTGGAGGTAGTTCCAAGTTCAGGACAGCTAGTTCTGGGTAAGATCAACAGTCTTATATAGATTTTCATTGTAATTATTAGACTTTCGTTGTTTAGCTAATGATATTCTACTATGTATCACAGCTATGAATGATATTTTTCAAATTTAATACTTATTGTTATTTCTATCAGAATTTTTCTCTCTTTTTTTAAATTAACAACTATTTCCTATTTAAATTAAAATCATTTTGGTTTTGTTAAATATCTAACTGCAAAAAAATTCTATTACAAAAAGTCGAATAAGTATGAAAAATATGGATACAATTATTATTTTATTTTAAGGGATGACATTTTTATGAGAAATAGAAAAGTAACTGCCATTATAAAAGACGCATTGAGATATGTCACAAAGAAATTAGATTATACATAATTGTTTTTTATTAGTTATGGTGACAATGGTTTCTTCGAAGGTTTATTTAGGTGTGTTGCTACTCGTTCTGTATATTTTATTGATATGATTTTATTGATTTTATTCATAAGATTTTTTCTGGTTAATAATTCTTTCTGTATTATTTGGTTCATATAAAGTAGAGCAGGGCTTAAAGGTCCGCGGGTAAAAAGGTTTTCTGCCGATATTTCAAAAATATGTAAAGTTATGAACTTTTTAACAACAATATTTGTAAAAGAGGGAAAAAGATGCATAACCAGCCAATTCTTACGACCTTGCTAACTATAACTATCAAAAACTATAACAGAAGTATTTTCTTTCGTTCTTGGTTTTTTGGTTGTGGGCACTGTTGTTTAGTTTACGAGACCTTGTATGTATTGTTAATTTCAAGTTAGATTAAATAGTATTTTTTATATAACCTCTACAAAAGCTTACAAGTTGGTGGGGTAACAAGGACTAACTGAACCTTTGCCCCGATAAAGGAGTAAACAATAAAAATAGTGAATAAAACGTGAACTAAGTTAAAAAGCAATTTTACAGGAGATAAATTGAATAAATAGTTATCCTAACTTTGCTGATGAATATTTCTAACGAAATACCAGATCGACGTTATATACGAGTGTTATCTCCGTAAAAAATAAACCCATAAAATTTATATTTTATATTGGTTGAATAATGCACCTATTATTTTGTAAAATTTATTTTAAATTGAAAATACCATCCCATTTTACCTCGCCTATGGGGTAGAATGGACCAAGTAAACAGCAGAACAGCAAATAACACTTTTCTACTATGATAAATTAGTTGGGAGTTTACTAACCATTGTCAGATAGTTGTTTTATTGATATGAGTTTGGTTTTTACAATATAATTGTTCAAAGTCAAATTTGACCTTTGTGCCCCGCGCTACCCTAATACTTAAATAAATACAAATGATATTTAATTAATTAAAATTGGTAATTAATTTCACTTATTAATAATGCCTTTTTTAATTATAAGTAGATATAAGAAAAAGGTGATATTAAATCGGTGGTTTTCAGAATTACTTTTTTAATTTCCTCATGCCTAAAAGAATTTTTACTAAAACACACATAAATTCAATAAGTTAATTTTTTATAATTGTACAAGTAACTTTGAATTTTGTCCACATTTTCTTAAGATAAAAATAACAATGGCATCGTGCCTTAACGCAAATTGCTGAACTTCCCGTACTTCAATTAGAATGTGTACACGTTATTAAAATCTCTATAAAATATCTGATAATTTGATGTACATATGTCCAATAAACATTTTTGACCGTCAAATGACATTTCTTTAACTTATTTTTATTGAGAGTCCATAACCGCTGAACCTGCCTTCCAAAAAATTTAATCAGTTCGTCATCTTATTAATACAAGTAAAATGTTTTTTGAATTATCAAAATCAGACGCTCCGTTCTCTTGAAAACTGAGTTACCGTTTTTGACACTTTTTGCGCCGTATCTTCGAAACGGCTAGACCTGCCTTCGCCAAAAACTGCTTTTTGAATTATTCAAATCGGTTGATCGGTGTTCCCAAAATTGCACACACACACACATACATCGATTTGTTCTAAGGTATGCCAAAATGTTCACAAACCTTTGAAACGTAAAGATATATATAAATTTTCATTTTCGATTTTTTTCCGATTACGATAACTTACCCTACAGGAAGTTAAAAATATAATACGTTTATTTTTTTAATAGTAATTTAACAAAATTATAACCAATTTAATTAACTCATTATCACTATCGAGTATATTGAGCACTTTGTACCAAAACCAAACGTATGAGTAAGAATGACCAAAAACTCATTAAGGATCATATTACATGATTATAATAAATTGTATTGCTTGTGTCTGATGTATTGATATGAAGAATTTTATTATTATGCATGTATCAAATTAAATGCCATGAAAACACTTTCCTGGAACAGTCATTGTCAATATGATACATATTCAATTCTTGATCTGTGATTGACAA